AAAACAGAGATGAGTAACACTTAGTGGGATAGCCAGAGGCTCAGAGCCCATGTGGGAATATCTATGCAAGAAAAAAAAATTGTATATTTCAATCTATTCTGCTGCCCAAGTGATTTTACCTATTTGGTTAAACGCTGAAATGGGCAGATTCTTTCGCATAAAAACACATACTAAAATCTGGCTTCCGAGGCCTATTCTGTATAAAAACTAAATCATTAATTCTCCTCCCTTTTTCAGTCCCTCACCCGCTCTTTGGCCTCACTCCTTCAAATCCTCAAATTAGACAAAATTGAAATCAAATTTTGTCAATAAAGATGTTAATAATAACTACTCCCTCACTCCCTTAAGATGCCCGTGATGGCGAAATGTTCCATTATAACATTTACAATTCCTTCACACACTCACGCTCTCGTACATCGCATCCCCGTACCAATTGTATATAACTCAAATATAAGGAGGTATACTTTTATACTTTCTATAACAGCTATTCCCCAAATTTCCCCCAGAGACAACTTCCCCACCTCTCACGCCTACCCTACCCTCAACAAACGCTGCCAGCATTACCCCATGATTACAGATTGATAAAGATTAAGCCACCCAAGAGGCGGCACGGGCATGAATAGCCCGTAACCGTGATGACAATGTTGTTGTTGTTTCAGACTTAGCTACTCAGGACGAAGTGTCCATGTAGCACGGGCTATGGTGAGCCCGTAAGATGATGACAAGTATAGCCAGTCTTTTGTATCTCGGCATCACCACACACCAGCCCCCCCACCCCCCACCCCACCCCTGGTGTAACCTACTCAATCCTTATCTCTAGACAAACATGTAATCAAGCCTATCTGAGGAAGGCTGCGTTATCATGCACGCGCCGAGAGATTCATACCCAAGTGAGCATCAAACGACACCACCAATACAATACCATGGACGACCCCCCTACCTCGGTTGGCCCCAGGGGGGGGGGGGGTTCTTTCTCACCTACGTGCAAAAAATAAAGTCACACAATAACTCCGTTTTATTCAGGCGATGAGTCACAATAACGTGGCTGAAGTATGTTGACCAGACCACACACTAGAAATTGAAGGGACGACGACGTTTCGGTCCGTCCTGGACCATTCTCAAGTCGATTGTGATGAGGACAGGTAGGGACAGGCATTAAATAGGCAAGAGAGACTTTCCTCCTCAGCTCTCTCTTGCCTATTTAATGCCTGTCCCTACCTGTCCTCATCACCATCTGGTCACCACTTGGTCCGGGAGACATCTCCCGTCACGCAGGGTGCAGTCGCGCCTCCACAGATCTCCAGTATCAGCTCTTGATACTGGTAATGGCTCAAAAGGGCCACCACTTACGAGCTATTCATGCCCGTGCCACCTTTTGGGTGGCTTAATCTTCATCATCATCATCATCATCTGTCCTCATCACAATCGACTTGAGAATGGTCCAGGACGGACCGAAACGTCGTCGTCCCTTCAATTTCTAGTGTGTGGTCTGGTCAACTCCGTTTTATTCATTGCACGGGAGACATCTCCCGTCCACGAGGCTAACCATAGCCCGTGCTTCCTGCCTCGCTCCTGTGCCAGGTAAGTTACGGGCTCACCATAGCCCGTGCTGCTTGGAACTTGTTCCGAGTAGCTTAATCTATAACAACAACAACAATCCGTTTTATTAACGGTGTGGGATAATAATGGGCAAGCGGAAACCAGGAGAACACAGATGAACTGTGGCATAACATGGCTCTCTATAGTGGGCCATCTGGCTCACTCCCACCAGTATCAGGGTCATGATGCGGCGCCTGGCTTGTTTATCATCATCTTATCCCCCCCCCCTCCCCCCGCACACACAGTGTGGGCGCCTGGTGGCTGAGTGGACAGCACTCAGGACTCGTAATCCTGGGGGGGACCGGGGTTCGATCCCCGACGATGGCGGAAAACAAATGGGCTGTTTCTTCTACCCTGATGCCCCCCCCCCCTGTTAGCTAGCAGTAAATAGGTACCTGGGAGTTAGACAGCTGTGACGGGCTGCTTCCTCTGTGTGTGTGTGTGTGTGTGTGTGTGTGTGTGTGTGTGTGTGTGTGTGTGTGTGTGTGTGTGTGTGTGTGTGTGTGTGTAAAAAAAGAGATCGTTGATTGATTGACAGTTGAGAGGCGAAAGAGCAGAGCTCAACCCCCGCAAGCACAACTAGGTGAATACACAGTTTCGAACACCAAAGCTTTATAGTTTCAAAGCGTTATATGACAAAGAGTACTGGGAAGACGGGACACCATGAGCGTAGCTCTTATCCTGTAACTGCACTTAAGTAATTACACACACACACACACACACACACACACACACACACACACACACACACACACACACACACACACACACTCTTCTTCACAGAAAACTATCGTAACGCTGCCGAACATATAAATCCCATTTCATAAGGGATCGTTATACAAATTAAACCCCAATCACACTGTAAACAATAATCAATACAATTAAAGTCCATAATCATGTATACATCACGGTCTTGGCACCAGTCTACATGTATACTACAACACCTACGTGTATACCATCGCTCTGGTGCCAATCGCTATATAGGTGTAAACTTCATAGTGCCAGTTAAAAAAAATACTAACACCATTCAAAAACATGAATACACAAAAGGTTAATTATCAAAAGATATTTGTTAACTTTTTTTCTTCACTAACAGCAGCGATTTTTTTTATAAATTATAAAAATTATATCAAATATATTTTTTTTTTAATTTTTAAGGACAAGAGTTTGCAGTTACATTTTTTTAATATACAGATTTTGCATAATAAAACTGAAAATATTATAATATTTACTATTCATAACCTTCAAGTGGAAAATTAGCTTGTGAGCGCAGTCGGCTAACAACTTGTCGGTCCCAAATATCGAATCCGAGGCCAGAGGGAGAAGGTCCGGACACGTATTCTTTACGCCTGCTGCCTCTGTTCACCTAGCAGCAATATGTACCCCAGGAGTTGAGCGAATGTTGCGGACTGCATCTTAGGAATGATAAGCCGCAAGGAATTGGGACGTGCTTTGTGCTCAGTTTTCAAACAATATCGCTAATATTTAAGATATTTTCGGACAAAAATCTTTTAAAATTAGGCATAAAATTGGGAAGAACGTGAAGGCGCTACCTAAGGCCAGATTTAGTTACACAATTGTTCCAAGGGAAGGGAATTATCGGAAAAGAGCTAAGCCATTACGACTATATAGCACTGGGAAAGGGTCAGGATAAGCATTTGAAATGGGTCGGGGAGGGAAAGGAATGGTGCCCAACCACTTGTGGACGGTCGGGGGATTGAACGCCGACGTGCATGAAGCGAGACCGTTGCTCTACCGTCCAGCCCAACTGGTTGGACGGTAGAGCGACGTTCCAAGACTGCTAGAATGTTACTAATAAATGTTAAAAGGTTAGCGTTTCCACACCGCCTCAGGGCTGGTCACTGACATTTAAAAGAATACAAGAAAACAGTAGACAAGCAAAACACACAAGCCCCGAGGCACCCCTCGGGTGCCAATGAACCAACCTCTCAGGGTGAGGTTATCTTGAGGTTATCTTGAGATAATTTCGGGGCTTTTTAGTGTCCCCGCGGCCCAGTCCTCGACCAGGCCTCCACCCCCAGGAAGCAGCCCGTGACAGCTGACTAACACCCAGGTACCTATTTACTGCTAGGTAACAGGGGCATAGGGTGAAAGAAACTCTGCCCATTGTTTCTCGCCGGCGCCCGGGATCGAACCCTGGATCACAAGTCCAGCGTGCTGTCCGCTCGGCCGACCAGCTCCCTAAATGACAGTGACAGGACTGTCTCACCAGTGGACACTTTGACAGTCAAAATTCTCGTGAAAGTTTCATTTTTAATTTGTGATGAGGCGGCCGCGCGTCAAAAAATCATTATGACAACTCATCAAAAGCGTCAGGACGACAGACGCATAATGCAACAATAATAATATACAACAATAAACGACGTATTAGAAGAAAACAAAACAAAATCACTATACAGTTGACATTTTTATGCATCGGCCTTGATAGGTTAGGTGGGTTGCTTGGGTTCGTACGTTCCTCTTCGACTACCCAGCCACTTGGGCTGGACGGTAGAGCGACGGTCTCGCTTCATGCAGGTCGGCGTTCAATCCCCGACCGTCCAAGTGGTTGGGCACCATTCCTTCCCCCCTTCCCATCCCAAATCCTTACCCTGACCCCTTCCAAGTGCTATATAGTCGTAATGACTTGGCGCTTTCCCCCCTGATAGTTCCCTTCCCTTCCTCTTCGTCTAGACAGTCGCACTTTTAACGGAGTGACAATTCGAGAGAACGGGGCTGCCGGAAGATTGGGCCATGCAATTTAATGACACAAGAAGCCAATTCAAGCCCACAAAGTAATGTGGGGATGAGGGAACCTTAGTGCCAGTATTACCACATAATATATATCAAACCAGGCACCACGAGAGACATCTCCCGTCACGCAGGGTGCAGTCGCACCTCCACAGATCTCCAGTATCATCTATTGATACTGATGATGGTTCAAAAGGGCCACCACTTACGGGCTATTCATGCCTGTGCCACCTTTTGGGTGGCTTAATCTTCACCAATCAATCAAACAAGGCACACCAAGACCCGTTAACCACGAGGCCAGATTCACGAAGCAGTTACGCATGCACATACGAAGCTGTACATCTTTTCTCAATCTGTGGCGGCTTTGTTTACAATTATGAAACAGTTAATGAGCTCCGAAGCACCAGGAGGCTGTTTATAACAATAACAACAGTTGATTAGCAAGTTTCTATGCTTGTAAACTGTTATAATCAATGCAACCAAAGCCGCCAAAGATTAAGGAAGGATGTACACGTTCGTAGGTACTTACGTAACTGCTTCGTGAATCCGGCCCCAAAAGGATTACTACAACTAGAAAATCAGGATGACACAGTCAAACAATCTCTAGTCAACTAGTAACTAGTAATACAGGTACTAGAAGAGAGGCTTACCATGCCGTTGTCCGGAGCATACCCAGGCGAGTACACTGCCTTATCTGAAAACAAAAAACAAATACAGGTAATTGGTAGTTATTCTCAACATAAACATAGATGTAACTAAGGGTATGACAAAAGAAGTCGACATCATCGTGTCTTACAAAAACATCACAAATGTTTAAACAAATAAAAATACACTATGTAAATCAATTATATTGTGACATTGAAGTAAATGTAGTCATCATTTAACAATTGCAAACAAATTAGTACACTGCTGGGAGTCGTAGTCTATTTATCAGTTGAAGAATCGTCTAGTTTTTGTTCTTGTATCTTGGATTTAGGGAATTCAGCACCACGTTTTCCCTAGAACACAATCCGACAATCGGTTAAACTCCAGGGGCCAGATTCATGAAGCCGTTACGCAAGCACTTACGAACCTGTACATCTTTCCTCAATCTTTGGCGGCTTTGTTTACAATTATTAAACAGTTATAATGAGCTCCGAAGCACCAGGCGGCTGTTTATAACAATAACAACAGTTGAATGGGAAGTTTTCATGCTTGTAAACTGTTTAATAAATGTAACCAAAGCCGTCAAAGATTGAGGAAAGACGCACACGTACGTAAGTGCTTGCGTAACTGCTTCGTGAATCTAGCCCCAAGTGATCATTAGCCTGCAATGACCTGCACTTTAGGTGTCTAATGGGCATCACTTCGAGAAAACGAGACTTAATACAGTGACTGCCAAGCTTGGGAGATGCGAGGGTGGTAACCACTACACCTCGGGGAGCTGCTGAACAACCTCACATCTTATCTTCACCATTTAAGCATCTACTAACACGCTACACCGATGCATAATCTGGTGCTTGTACGAGAGCAGGAGAGGTGGGCGGCGGGAGGCTGGGGGCCTGGCAATTCACAATGCAACCATGCACAATAAACCCGGAGGTAAACATCTCAGCCTCGGCAAATGATAATCAGGTGTAATGTGGTAACCTACGGAGGTGCGGTAGTACTATAAGGGAGCCGGTCGGCCGAGCGGACAGCACGCTGGGCTTGTGATCCTGTGGTCCTGGGTTCGATCCCAGGCGCCGACGAGAAACAATGGGCAGAGTTTCTTTCACCCTATGCCCCTGTTACCTAGCAGTAAATAGGTACCTGGGTGTTAGTCAGCTGTCACGGGCTGCTTCCTGGGGGTGGAGGCCTGGTCGAGGACCGGGCCGCGGGGACACACACACACAAAAAAAGCCCCGAAATCATCTCAAAATAACCTCAAAATAAGTAACAAGTACGGCAAAAGTCAGGTAACAGCAGATGCAAGCCAGTCGACAGCACCCGCAAGCCAGACAGAAACATTAGCAAGCCAAGGAACACTAAGCTCTTAACTAGACAGCACCCACAGCAACAGCTAAAAGCCAGGCAAGAACGACATGATACCAAGCAGCCTCTGCAGTATTCCAAGCAACGGCCCACTAGACAGAGGACAGACAAAGAGGCCTCTGCAGTTACACAAGAGTCAGCAGCGTTGCGGCAGTAAGGCAACAACGCGGTGTGATTCCTTCCAGAGTTTCGGACAAGGAACTCGGCAGTCATACTATATAACTGATCCAATGAAGTATGATCATACATGATCTTATTGTCTGGTTGTAAGTTGATGCAAAAGGTTGTCACTTCGAGCGGCCTGCGGGCCCACATAGTCATCGCAGCCTAAGCTGTTCCAGCACATCCTATCTTATCTTGAGATGATTTCGGGGCTTTTTTTTTTTTTAAGTGTCCCCGCGGCCCGGTCCTCGACCAGGCCTCCACCCCCAGGAAGCAGCCCGTAACAGCTGACTAACACCCAGGTACTTATTTTACTGCTAGGTAACAGGGGCATAGGGTGAAAGAAACTCTGCCCATTGTTTCTCGCCGGCGCCTGGGATCGAACCCAGGATCACAAGTCCAGCGTGCTGTCCGCTCGGCCGACCGGCTCCCTACCCACATCCTGAAGGAATTTGTTTCTTGAATGAAGCCAATGAAGGACGGAGGAGTTAAAAGCTAAGGAGGACCGGTGTAAATAAGAAGCCAAGGATGGCGGGTGGGTTAAGAAGTCAAGGAGGATGGGTACAAAGCCAAGGAATGCGGGCGAGGAATGAAGCCAAGGACGAAGGTCACGGTTTGAATTCATGGAAAACGGACGGGGAATCTTTTAATCTAAGGAATTTAGACGGGGCACGAAGCCAAGGGGGTTAGGGGAAGGCAAGAAACCAAGGAGAGGGAGGAGGGGGTTACGAAGTCAAGGAAGGCGGGTATTTCAAGAAGCCACGACAGAAGCTTCACGGGCCATGGCAGTATCTTTGGATTCCAGGGCGAAAGATTTGCCAGCTAAAGTAGGGAGGGAAGGGCAAATGACAGCAATAGAACTATTAGCCAAGACTGCTAGCCAGGACTGCTAGCCAGGACTGCTAGCCAGGACTGCTAGCCAGGACTGCTAGCCAGGACTGCTAGCCAGACCGAACGGTAATAACACAGACGGTGAGGCAGTCTGTCCGGTTAATATATGGCCGCTTTACCAACTATAGTTGTTTCAGGTGGGCATCGCGCTATAGAACGATCATTAAATTCCTCTTAACTTATACAGACAAGGATGACGCCGTTAATCCGAATTAGAAACCTCACCTTAGAGATCAAGGGAGGACACAGTATACAAAGGGCCTACAGTTTAGACCTATTGTCTTATGTATGACCCTCTGTCCTGCGTGGCAGTGAATACCAGCATTATCCTCACTTTAATAAGACTATCAAAATCTTGAGATTAGGCAAAATTGTAATTAATTTTGTCAATAAAGATGTTAATAATAAAGGGCTGAATGGGTATAACATTGGGGATGTTAGTTTAAATGGATGTTATCTTGAGGTTATCTCGAGATGATTTCGGGGCTTAGCGTCCCTGTGGCCCGGTCCTCGACCAGACCTCCTTTTTGCTACACATCCCCAGGAAGCAGCCCTTATAAGCTGTCTAACTCCCTGGTACTTATTTACTGCTAGGTGAACAGGAACATCAGGGTGAAAGAAACTGTCCATTTATTTCCGCCTTCACCGGGGATCGAACCCGGAATCTCAGGACTACAAATCTCGAGCGCTGTCCATTCAGCTGTCAGGCCTAATTTAGCTAAACATAACCCAAAACTGAACATGAAAGACTGAATAAGAATTGGGTAAGTTCATGAAAAAAATAAAAACTTGGTAAGTACTAGTTAAAAAAAAAAGGATTTACGAAACTAATTACCAGCAACATAGAAGACGTGGAATCGTTGGATTGTTTCAAGCTCATGTTAGACATATGATTAACTGACTGATGAAGGTTAGCACTATCCCTTTGAGATGTATTTTCTTGTCTCACTAAACATGCATGAACTTGAAGATTACGCCACCTCTTAGGTGGCCTAATCTTCACCAATCAATCACCTTTGGTCTTACAGGCTATTCATGTCCATGCCACTTCATATGGACAGAATAGCCCGTCCGTGCCATTCATGTTGGGTGACTTAATCTCCATCAATCAATCTTTGGTTGTGGTTGACATACGAGCTTGGTTGAGTGTAAATAGGAGCTGCCTCTCATGGGCAACCAATAGGAGCTGCCTCTCATGACCAACCAATTGCAGCTGCCCCTCATGGCCAACCAATAGGAGCTGCCCCTCAAGGCCAACCAATAGGAGCTGCCTCTCATGGCCAACCAACAGGAGCTGCCCCTCATGGGCAACCAATAGGAGCTGCCTCTCATGCCCAACCAATAGGAGCTGCCTCTCATGCCCAACCAATAGGAGCTGCCCCTCATGGGCAACCAATAGGAGCTGCCCCTCATGCCCAACCAATAGGAGCTGCCTCTCATGGGCAACCAATAGGAGCTGCCCCTCATGGCCAACCAATAGGAGCTGCCCCTCATGGCCAACCAATAGGAGCTGTCTCTCATGGGCAACCAATAGGAGCTGCCTCTCATGGCCAACCAATAGGAGCTGCCCCTCATGGCCAACCAATAGGAGCTGCCCCTCATGGCCAACCAATAGGAGCTGCCTCTCATGGCCAACCAATAGGAGCTGCCTCTCATGGCCAACCAATAGGAGCTGCCTCTCATGGGCAACCAATAGGAGCTGCCTCTCATGGCCAACCAATAGGAGCTGCCCCTCATGGCCAACCAATAAGAGCTGCCCCTCATGGCCAACCAATAGGAGCTGCCTTTCATGGCCAACCAATAGGAGCTGCCTCTCATGGCCATCCAATAGGAGCTGCCTCTCATGGGCAACCAATAGGAGCTGCCTCTCATGGCCAACCAATAGGAGCTGCCCCTCATGGCCAACCAATAGGAGCTGCCCCTCATGGCCAACCAATAGGAGCTGCCCCTCATGACCAACCAATAGGAGCTGCCCCTCATGACCAACCAATAGGAGCTGCCCCTCATGGCCAACCAATAGGAGCTGCCCCTCATGGCCAACCAATAGGAGCTGCCCCTCATGGCCAACCAATAGGAGCTGCCCCTCATGGCCAACCAATAGGAGCTGCCCCTCATGACCAACCAATAGGAGCTGCCCCTCATGACCAACCAATAGGAGCTGCCCCTCATGACCAACCAATAGGAGCTGCCCCTCATGACCAACCAATAGGAGCTGCCTCTCATGGCCAACCAATAGGAGCTGCCCCTCATGGCCAACCAATAGGAGCTGCCCCTCATGGCCAACCAATAGGAGCTGCCCCTCATGGCCAACCAATAGGAGCTGCCCCTCATGGCCAACCAATAGGAGCTGCCCCTCATGACCAACCAATAGGAGCTGCCCCTCATGACCAACCAATAGGAGCTGCCTCTCATGGCCAACCAATAGGAGCTGCCCCTCATGACCAACCAATAGGCCCATGAGAGATGAGAGGGCCTATTGAGAGGGCTTTTTGTTCAGAGTTTCCTCAACTCTTACGTCCGTCTGTCTCTCCGTCTTGACCGTCAATCCTCCCAATCCACCGGGCCAATCTTCTCCCCTCACCTTTAAGCTTTTGGTACACACATCACCACTAGAGTGAACACTGAATT